GAAGAGTAGGGGAGTGGTGATGTGGGGAGGATTGTGACGTAAGAGGGGGGGGAGCTTGATGTGAGGGGGGTCTGTGATTGCAAGGGGGGGTTATGATGTAAGATGGGGACAGTGATGTGAACAGTGGGGGTGCAGTGATGTGGAAAGGATTGTGATGTTGGGGGGGGGGGGGGGGGGCTGTAATTGTAAGGGGGCTATGATGTAAGAGAGCAAACGTGATGTGAAGAGTAGGGGAGTGGTGAGGTGGAAAGGATTCTGACTTAAAGGGGGTGGGGGGCTTGATGTGAGGGGGGGGTCTGTGATTGCAAGGTAGGTCATGATGTAAGAGGGGGACAGTGATGTGATGTGGAAAAGGATTGTGATGTTGGGGGGGGTGGCTGTAATTGCAAAGGACTATGATGAAAGAGGGGGACAGTGATGTGATGTGGAAAGGACTGTGATGTTGGGAGGGGGGGGGGGGCTGTAATTGCAAAGGGCAGGGGGACAGTGATGTGATGTGGGACTGTGATGTTGGGGGGGGGGGGCTGTAATTGCAAAGGGCTATGATGTAAGAGGGGGACACTGATGTGAAGAGTAGGGTAGTGGTGATGTGGAAAGGGTTGTGACGTGGGGGGGCTTGATGTGAGGGGGGTCTGTGATTGCAAGGGAGACTATAATATGAAAGGGACTCTGTTAGGAAGGGGACTATGATGTAAGAGGGGGACAGTGATGTGAAGAGTGGGGGTGCAGTAATGTGGAAAGGATTGTGATGTTGGGGGCTGTAATTGCAAGGGGGCCATGATGTAAGAGGGGGATAGTGATGTGAAGAGTAGGGGAGTGGTGACGTGGAAAGGATTGTGACGTGGGGGGGGGGGGGGGGGTTGATGTGAGGGGGGTCTGTGATTGCAAGGGAGACTATAATATGAAAGGGACTCTGTTAGGAAGGGAACTATGATGTGAAAGGTGGTGGTGGGTTCTGTGCTGTGAAGAAGAAGCAGGGCCGTGAATTCTAACTAGTTCCCCCCATTCTAGAGGGATCCCACAGGTACGGTAATACATACTTAAATGAATCCAGGCTGGACCAGTGATATTGTGTAAGAACATTTGCCATACCTGAAATAAAAAATACAAATTACAAAATAGGTTGGTTTTAAAAGTGTTCTGATTCAGGCTACAATCACCTTATGCTTGTGGGTACCCGCAGTTCAGCGAACAAAATGGCGGACTGTACTGAATACACAACAGGTGCAGCATCTCAGCCTCTCCACACAGCCCCGCCATTCTATGACAGGTACTTCAGGGTAAACACAATAAAAGGTCAAAAGGCAAAATAAACTCACCCTTGGCAAACCTGCTGGTTTACTTATCATTTGGCCACTTCTATTTCTGGGCCCCAGTTTATAATGCGAGCCTGTGACTAGAGATGCTGTTCCCTCATCAATTTAGCTGCTCAAATAAAAAAAAAAGCTGTATTGTTCATTTTCAATAACAGACTTTGCTGCCCTGATTAAATGTGTACCCAGCACGGAGCAAATATTGACATACACTGCAGGAAGCAGATACTAAAGAGCCATTGTTATTTGTACACCACACCAAGCCTGCCTGCCTGGAAGCCACTAATGTGTCCATAGCAGGAAGGTAAGATATTTACCAGAGAGGAGATTCCAGGAAATAAATATGAATTGATTATGATTACGGAGGTGGGTAGTGTTGACTGTAAAGGTAAATGGCTTGGAGCACATAGAGACAGTCTCTGACTCCTTGGCTCCAGTGAATCTTAAATTCTCAGCAACCCTTAGAAATCGAAGGATGGGACTTGTTCTATCACTGTCATTCAGCGGCTTTATGAAGGAGAACAGACTACAGCTAGCCGTTGATGAGCATGTCGCTAGCAATTATTACTTTCCTTGATGAAAAGCACAGTTGTGAGCCCGCAGAATGCGTAGGATACTGGTGTGAACCGTAGTAGTGGACTATTTACGTGGGGAAAAATTCTTTGATTCTGGCCGGAGCTTGGTGGTCCTCCACTCTCTGTGACGCAGGTAACAAATAAGATGGCATGATATCTTTTGAATGAAAATATGTAAGCGAGTTCTATGGGTAATCTGCGTAAACTGAACTGGTTCAATCCCGTCCCCTGGTTTTAACATCATTTACCTAGGGATTGACCACTCACTCTTGATTACCTGCTTCACCAAGCCAGCTAGATTGGGTCAGAGAGTGACTTATATCTACCTTCTTACCTACCCTTCCTCCTGAAACTGTCTTCCTTCCTTTTTGCTTCTCTTTACTGTTTGCTAGGGATGAAATAAGGCATGTTAGGATCCTAGTCTTAACCCATTGAGCTATTATGCAGGGATGAGCTCAGGCGTTTTTGGATCCTAGTCTGAACCCACCTAACCTATCTGGTCAGGAAGCTTTTACTGTACAAAGCCAATCATAAGAGGCCAAGACATTCCCTGTCTCGCAGCCTCAGGTATACAAGAAGCATGTATTTGTGGCTACAAGTTGGGGAATGGCTTGCCTGCTTCTGATTGGTTTGTGCAGTGAAAGCTTCCTGGCGTGATAGCTCAGGTAGGTTAAGACTAGGATCCAAAAACGCCTGAGCTCGTTCCTTCTCTTTGCCCCTTAGCTCAAGGGTGTCAAACTGGCGGCCCTCCAGCTGTTGTGAAACTACAAGTCCCATCATTTCTCTGCCTTTGGGAGTCATGCTTGTTACTGTCAATCTCGCAATGCCTCATGGGACTTGCAGTTTGGCAACAGCTGGAGGGCTGCCAGTTTGACACCTGTGCATTAGCTGGTCACCACAGCATCGTCAAGATGTTTATAGCATTTTCCATGGAAGGGCATGGAGAATGTAGATTACAGTCATGGCTTCCTTAACCCTGGACTGTTATTGAATTGTATACTGATCTCCTTGATTGGAATTGTGCCTGGTATCATGTATGTTTATATGTCTTTAAATTATTCCATCCTAGATTGTAAGCTCCCAGGATCAGGCCCTCCTATCCCTCTTGTATTGAACTGTATTGTTGCTGTATTGTCTCCCGTTATATTGTAAAGCGCTGAGCAAACTGTTGGCGCTCTATAAATCCTGTATTATAATAATAATAAAAAAGTGTATTGAAACAAAAAAATTATTTGGTCTCCAATATTGGCAGGCGGTTGCCTGCAAGGGGCCCTTGCATGCTTGAGAGCGGTCTGCCCAGTGGAAATGCACTACTGTTGTTATTTCCATGTTACCCTATGGCATTAGACCCATTAGTCCATTTTTGAACATCTTGCACCATCCACCTACCCTTTTGATTCAGCAGCATTTATGGTCAGGCATCTGGCCTTTGCAGATTGAGATGCTAGCAATGGCAGCGTCAACGTTGTTCTCAGGATAGATAGATCTTCTAACTTGACATATCTCTGACAGACAAGAATATGGTATGTTGAGCTAACTGGCCTCCATGACTGAATTTCTAGGCACATGAAGCAAGTCAAGTGTATATCTGAGCAGAAAAAATGTTCAGTACATACAGTATCTGTTAGGCTCCATGCACACGGGGCGTTTTAGTAACGCTGGTAACGTTAGCTGTGTAAAGTCATGTTAAAAATGTTTTTCTGCGGTTTTTAGCATTTTTGTATTAGCATTTAGATGCGTTTTGCCACTTTTAGAGTTTTGTTTGACCAAAAAAAAGTCCAAAAACGCTGGTTTGCCGTGATTTACCTGGTTTCCTGCTGGTTTTCAGCATTAGAGTGTTTTTACAGCTAAATCACTCCTCTAGAAGCTCACGAGTTCTGGGTTTTTTTCCAGCCAAAAAACGTCCCAGCCAAAAAATGCTGATTCCAGTCTATGTGTGCATGGACACATAGGATAACATGCTGGGGGGTTTACTGCCTGTAGAAAAAACCGTCAAAAGACAAAAACAGCCGCTGTAAACACGTCCAGTGTGTATGAGGACTCATACATGTACATTTCCCCATGTTTTGCTTTTTTAAAAAGGATTCAAATACAAAAAATACCCATTGATCTGCCAGAAATCTAGTGGGCTTCTAAGGGCTCGTTTACACTTGTTTTACCAACGCTTGGCAAACGCCTCTATAGCGTTTGGCAAGCGTTGGTCCGGCGTTTGCGGAGCATTTTTTAATGCTCAGCAAAGGCTCCGCAAATGCCGCAAGCGCGGTTTAGCGGCAGTTGCTAGGCATTTGCCGAGCATTAAAAACGCCCCACAAACTCCTATAATGAAGTTTGGTTGGTGTTACCGCTCCGCAAACGCCCCGCAACCGTGACGCAAACGCCGGCCAGGCGTTTGGGGAGCGGCACCATAGACTAGAATAGGAGGCTTCAACGCCTCCTGACTCGACCAGAGGCGTCTGTTTTGCCGCGACGCTAATGCTCCCGTTAGAACAGTACCATGGGCTGCAATGTGCAGAATTGTCAGAGGCGTTTGGGAAGCGGTAAAAAAAACACTTCCCAAACGCTCCTCTCTGCCGCCTGCACACAACGCTAGTGTGAACGTAGCCTTACTTCCTTTTTGAGCGGTCAGCATTGTACGCTTGCTGAGCTATAATCCCATGCAGTGTTCCCAGCCCTACCTAGATATCCTGTGTCAAACAAAAGAACACATCCTCCACTCCAGCTTAATTACACCTGTCATGTGATAAATATGTAGGCTGTCATGGTTGACCTATTCCTCTGAAAATACTGTTTTACTGGCTGTTATGCTGATGCTTTGGGTTCGGTACTTTCTGATCCATTGACCTAGAAAAAGTGCAGAAAGTAGTTCTTTTTTTTTTCTGACTTTGATTTGCTGCAGGCTTTTTCTTCAGTCTGTTACTGAGTGTTAAACCCAGCCACAGCTAGGCAACTATCATTTTTAGAAGGAAACAAGCTATGACCATCTCCATAATTCTTTCTTGACATGTATACTGTAATGATGACTTGCTACTTGGACATATGAGAACATGTTAATCTAACTTTTTTTTTTCCCTGTAGTTTTTTATACTATCTAATGTTTGTTATTTCTTTACAGGCTGCAAACAGCTATCTAAGAGATCAGTGGTTTCACTCCTTGCAGTGGAAGGTAAGTAATAATATGTTTACATAAGTATAAAATGATTGTAAGGACAAGTGGATCATGAAATGCTGTATTCAGTGTTGTACCTGACGGTCCATGGACACCCAAGGTCCAGCAGAGGATTCTGGGTTTAAGTTCTGTTCAAGAATGGACAAGTCATTTCCAGCTTAATGATCACATAAGAACTATGTTGCTATACGTTTTATTCTACATTCTATAAATAAAATGTTATAAAGTGACCCTTCAGAGGAGTTAGTTTACACTGATCAGCCATGACTTTTTGATCATCCACCTAACTGAGAAGGTCCTCGTTTTGCCACCAAAACAGCCCTGACTCGTTGAGGCTTGGACGCCAGTAGACAATTTAATAAAACAATATTTAATCCCATTAAAAAGAATGGTGGGGGAAAAAAATTCTACCATTATTTTTAATGGACTTAAATAAATATTGTTTTATTAAATTGTGTTGTTAGTTTGAAGTACGGTGCCTTTAAAGTCCCCTATTTTTGAAATTTTGTTGTCTTGGTACTATTTGGGATGTGGCATTGTACGCCTATTCCCATAGATGTAGTAATATTTTTGGTCTTGTGTTTGGGTGCAACAAAATTCATTAAAGTGTATTTTCTTCCCAAATAATTGCGTTTGAAAAACCGCTGCGCAAATACTGCGTGATATAAGAAATTGCAACGCCCACCACTTTATTCTATAGGGCCTCTGCAAAAAAAAAGATAAAAAAGAAAAGTGTATGTGTATATGCTGAGCAGCTAAATTAAGCTCTGGTGCCCGCTTTGTTAACCACTTGTCTACCAGGCCAATTCTGACAATCCTCTCCTTCATGTAAAAGTCTGAATTTTTTGTTATTAAATTACTTAGAGCTCCCAAACTTTATATATACTGTATTTTTCGCTCCATAAGATGCACCTGACCATAAGACACACCGTTTTTATTCTGCAATGGACTGCAGACACAGTACAGAAATGACCAGAGACTGTAGACATAGTACAGGAGATGAAGACACAGTACAGGAGATGACTAGAGAGGACATAGTTTAGAGACTGCGGACACGGTACAGGAGATGACGGAGACTGCGGAACAGTAAGGAGATGACCGGAGACTGCGGACATAGTACAGGAGATGACCAGAGACTGCGGACATAGTACAGGAATGACCAGAGACTGCGGACACAGTACAGGAGATGACCAGAGACTGCGGACACAGTACAGGAGATGACCTAGAGACTGCGGACATAGTACAGGAGATGACTAGAGACTGCGGACATAGTAGAGATGACTAGAGACTGCGGACATAGTACAGGAGATGACCGGAGACTGCGGACATAGTACAGGAGATGACCGGAGACTGCGGACATAGTACAGGAGATGACCAGAGACTGCGGACACAGTAGTGACAGAGATGCGGACACAGTACAGGAGATGACGGAGACTGCGGACATAGTACAGGAGATGACCAGAGACTGCGGACATAGTACAGGAGATGACCAGAGACTGCGGACATAGTACAGGAGATGACCAGAGATTGCAGACAGTATAGGGGATGACCAGAGACTGCGGACAGTGCAGGGGATGACTAAGACTGCGTACCTTTGGGGAGGGAGGGGGAGCGGGTACCTGAATTGGACAGGTACCCGCTCCCACTTCCGCGGAGTTGTCATCCCTTTAGTGTGGGCACCAGGCTGACAGCCGGGTGCCCAGTGCGCATGCGCGAGAATCGCTGCGCTTTGTGATTGGTCCGGCGTCTTCTGGGACCTGTCATGTGTCCCAGAAGATGCCTTACCATTCACAAAGCGCAGCTCTTCTCGCGCATGCACACTGGGCAGCCGGGTGCTCACACTAAAAATGCCGCGCGGGAAGACTGTGCAGCGCTGCACCGAGGAACAGGTAAGGTCCTGCTGCACAGAAGAGATGAGCAGCCGGCCCGGTATTCTCACACGGCGGTGGCGGTGGGAATACCGGACCGGGCGCTCCATATTCGTTCCATAAGACGCACTGACATTTCCCCCCTTTTTATATATATATAAATGTTTGGGGATTTTTAGTATGTTAGTATGCTGATTTTTATATGTAGTTGAGGAATGTCAGAACTGGCCTGGTAGGCAGATGGTTAACAGAGCGGACACCACAGCTTAATTTGTCTGCTCAGCATGCACTTGTATCGAGCACACAAGTGCTTTCGTGTGCGAGAATAACCTGATAGAATAAAGTTGTCACTTTTTTTTTTCTCATTGGGGCCGGCACCTCATTTACTCGCTCAGCAGGTGCCCGCTTCCCACTTCCAGTCCGATCGCTTAGGCCTAGGAATCGGAAGATGTCCTCTCTCCCTGTAGTCTTTTTGGGCACGTGACAGGTCCCAGAAGACTACAGGACCATTCATGAAGCGCAGCGCTACTTGCGCATGCACAGTGGGTACCCGGCTTTTGAAGCCGCAAGCTATCACAGTCGGGTGCCCACACTGAAGATGCCGGCCTCCTGGAATACAGGACAGCTGCGGTAAAACGAGCTGCGGTTTTTGTAGCTGCTGACTTTTATTTTTTGATAGGTTGAGTGGAACTCCGCTTTAAATACGGTTTTTATCTGAAGAAGTAGCTTGTTATGAAGGACAAGTAGTTTGGGACCCCAGTTTAGTCCCTTGGACAAGTAGTTTTTTAAAAAAAAAAAATCCACACCCCGGTATACACAGTAAATGCAAAGGAAATAATTTTCAACAGTTTTTTTGGCATGAAGGTACATTTCTGTGCTAATAGCATAAAAAAACAAACCTGTCCAACCTGAGCTTTATCTACTATGGTGTCTGTTAATTTGCATTTAGTGCCTGAAGCAATTTGGATGCACCATGTCACTTTGGGTAAAAATCTGAATAAATTGGTTACGTAAACCTAAGCGGAGTCGCATTGATGCAGCCTCAGAATCTATCATTAAGGCTTTTTTGTGGAGCCAAAACTTACATCACTTCCTGGCTTGCAAACGTGGATTTGAAATATAATAACAAGTGTATTGGGATGAAAAGGTTGCAGCCTGTGTGTGGTGGAGAGGACGGCTCATTGTTTCCCTGTGCCCATTCCAACAGCAAAAAAAGGGGTTTTTCTATGTCCTTTGCCTTCATATAAGCTGTACAGCAGATTCTGATGATATTAGCTAGTAGTTAGTTGTATGTTATTGCCTTTTGGATTTCCATATGAAAAAGGGACTTGACCTGAGACTGGGAAGAGCATTATGTGTGGGGCCCGAAAAAAGGCAAACCGTTCTCTTCGGGACACCTCCTGCTGGCCTCCTCTTTTGCTGCTGACCATCATAACCCCCCTGTGTTGGCACCTGAGCTGTGCATTGTCTGGTGTGAAAGGGATGGTGACTAGTTGGGGTGAGGCAGGTATGGAAAGCCAATGTACTCAGAAAAAGCTATCAGGTACAATTCAGGCCCAAAGTGTACTTTGACAGATAAGTAGAAGGTGGAGTGACATTGTATCAAGTGGAAACCTTGGAGAATATGTTGTAAAACTGATTTGTGTGCCTGACGGCTCAAACCATATTTCTCTGTTCATTCACAACGCGAACATGAGAAAGCCCCAGCCTAGCAATTTGGAGCAGTAAAGCCAGCCAGAGATGATGTGATTTGATGCGAAGCCGTCTCCACAATGAATACTTCTATCGGCTATAGCAGATGGCAGTAATTGATGTAAAAATCTGACAGGCTGGTAGTACCAAAGTCGTACAACAATCGAATTGAGTACAATTTCAGGACTGCTCCAGAGCCTCCCCATCCCCTGGAACTCTCTACCCCAATCTATCAGACTATCGCCTACTCTGCCCACTTTTAGGTGATCTCTGAAAACCTATCTCTTCAGGGAAGTCTATCCTGCCTTCAGCTAATAACGGAATCTTCTTTTCCTTCTCCCACAGTTTTTACCTTTTGTACCACCAGCCCCTTCCTCTTAGATTGTAAGCTCCAAGGAGCAGGGCCCTCCTAACCTTCATGTATTGAACTGTATTGTTGCTGTATTGTCTCCCTTTATTTTGTAAAGCGCTGAGCAAACTGTTGGCGCTATATAAATCCTGTATACTAATAATAATACAGTCAGCCTGCCCATAGATGGTTCGAATCTCGGACGGACTCTGCTGAAGATGCGAACCATCTATGGCTGGCTTAAGTAAAACGTGAAAGCCCTGACCTATACCAGTTCCCCAATGGCTACCTTTCCATGGGGCAGGTTGAAGGTGTGTGGCACACTATATGGAAAATAACTACTATTGTCAGAATGCAGAAACTATGCTATTTTGGTCCCACAGTGAGCTGCATGGGCTGTGGAACCCATCCTCATGCAGATGGGAGCCCTGCTACCAGTAGACCTTTTGGTAAGAGTTGTAGTGGATTCATAGGAAGAGTTTCCAGGCCCATAACTGGGAATACATTAGAATTTTAACCAGTCACTTGTAATTTGAAGAATACTTAGGTGGCACAACATGTATTAGTAGGTACAACCTGATTGTCAGCAACTTAATTGAGAAGCCGATCTCCAGCTATACAGCAGAAATGTAAAAAACTCAGAACATGGCAATAAAACTGTACAATAAAATGCTTACAGTTCGGTAATTGATGGAAATACTTTAACAGATTTAGAATTTCTTTTGTTGCCGGACAGGGAAAGTAGTAGATCTACAGAACAATGCTTGTATGTTTAAACCTATATATTCTTGTATCTTCATTCATTTAATACAATGTTGTTCCAGCACTTATTATAAAAGTTACATGGGGGAGATTCACTAAAACTTGTGCACTCAGAAGCTTGTTCATTTAAGTTCTGGCAATAAAACTAGTTCCCATGTCACCTCCTCCCATTCTCGCCTCCAGGACTTCTCCCGAGCTTCTTCCATCCTATGTTATTCCCTACCCCAATCTGTCCGGCTGTCTCCTAATCTATCCACCTTTAGACGATCCCTGAAAACCTTTCTCTTTAAAGAAGCCTATCCTGCTTCTACCTAGTAAACCGCCAT